TCTAGCACTTTCGTGACCACGGGCTGAGAGTCTTTGCTAGATTTTGGCATTTAGCAACTGACATACGGTTTAATGTGAAGACAACAACAACAACAGTTGCTAATCCCAAGATCTAGCAAAGACTCGGTCCGTGGTCACAAAAATGCTTGAAACATCAGATGATCTAAGGAACACACACTATTAGCAAGAAAAGGGTTCACAAGCCCGAGGAGGTACACGTGCAATCCCTGCAGCATGTTTGCGTGCTCACAACTGTACTACACGCCCCCACACTACAAGTCGACTACAGCAGCAGCATCAACCCCCTTGTCCCGCATTTAACCAAAATGAATGTTTATCGACTTNGTAGGCATGGAACAAGAAGCTGGCGGGGCACAAAGCTGCTGTCTGAAGTGCTGTCAGAATGTGTCTGCGGACGTACAGTGAAAAAGAACAACCAACCAAAGCCATGATTGCAATGGACAATCACCCGAACCTCTCCCGATCGTCTGTGTTAGGCACGCAGTGAAAATATCGACAATAGCTAAGAATCGTTCCACATTGAAGGGGTCTTCCACGATGCAGGTGCACAATTATGGCACCCGGGTTATCCGCGCCATCTCTGCCGCGTCTCTCTACAAAACCAGTGACGTCTTCACACACCACACTACACCGGTCGCCCCGGTGGTCTAGAGGGTAGCCTCGCAGCCTACTAAGGGCCAGGTCATGGGTTCGAGTCCCGGCAGAGTGAGTTTTTTCCTCACTAAATAAATCCTGGTCTAGGATGAAAGCGACGCGCTGCAAAGCTCGTTTGTTAGTAAACCATAATCGACTTCGTCGCGAGGGAAGGGATTGCTGTACCCTTCTCGCGATAAAAATACCCCAGGCATGAACCGCAGGAGGGGGTCCAACCCTCCCCTCCTATGTGACCCCGGTTGGGTCGTCTAGCTGGTAGAAGTGGAGGATAGGGGCCAGAGGGGCAGACGACAGAGTCCAATGATGGGAGAAAAACAAACAAACAACAAAACACCCCCAACACCTATATTCTGGAAAAAACGGGAAAATAATTGACAACACAAGAGATATTTGTCCGTGCGCCACGGTTCGATCCCGTTCGCATGCTCCGGTGCCGCTGCTCCGGTGCCGCTGTGGCCAGTCCTAGCACGACCAAACTCGACCCGCTCCGCATCGTACACGCTGTCGTTGCTGTCCATCCCAGTCGGTTCCTCGCTTTCTCCCTTATTGCACTTAAAGTTCTTG